TCACTTGATACAGTAAACAATAATGGTCCTTCACTTGATACAACAATCAATAATGTTCTTTCACTTGATACAGTAAACAATTATGGCCCCTCACTTGATGCAATAAACAATAATGGTCCCTCACTTGATACAGTAAACAATAATTGTCCCTCACTTAATATAGTACACAATAATGGTCTTTCACTTGATACAGTAAACAATAATGGTTCGTCACTTGATACAGTAAACAATAATGGCCCCTTACTTGAAACAGTAAACAATAATGGTCCTTCACTTGATACAGTCAACAATAATGGTTCTTCACTTGCTACAGTAAACAATAATGGTCCTTCACTTGATACAGTAAACAATAATGGTCCTTCACTTGATACAACAAACAATAATGTTCCTTCACTTGATACAGTAAACAATAATGGCCCCTCACTTGATACAATAAACAATAATTTTCCCTCACTTGATACAGTAAACAATATGGACCCTTCACTTGATACAGGAAACAATAATGGTCTCTCACTTGATACAGTAAACAATAGTGGTCCCTCACTTGATACAGTAAAGAATAATGGTCCCTCACCTGATGCAGTAAACAATAATGGTCCCTCACTTGATACAGTAAACAATAAAGGCCCCTCACCTGATACAGTAAACAATAATGGCCCCTCACTTGATACAGTAAACAATAATGGTCCCTCACTTAATATAGTACACAATAATGGTCTTTCACTTGATACAGTAAACAATAATGGTTCTTCACTTGATACAGTAAACAATAATGGCCCCTCACTTGATACAGTAAACAATAATGATCCTTCACTTGATACAGTAAACAATAATGGTCCTTCACTTGATACAACAAACAACATTGTTCCTTCACTTATTACAGTAAACAATAATGGCCCCTCACTTGATACAATAAACAATAATGGTCCCTCACTTGATACAGTAAACAATATTGACCCTTCACTTGATACAGTAAACAATAATGGTCCCTCACTTTATACAGTCAACAATAATGGCCCCTCACTTGATACAGTAAACAATAATGGTCCCTCACCTGATACAGTAAACAATAATGGCCCCTCACTTGATACAGTAAACAATATTGATCCCTCACTTGATACAGTAAACAATAATGGTCCATCACCTGATACAGTAAACAATAATGGTCCTTCACTTGATACAGTAAACAATAATGGTCCCTCACTTGATACAGTAAATAATACAGTGGCCCTTCACTTGATATAGTAAACAATAACGGTCCCTCACCTGATATAGTAAACAATAATGGTTCCTCACTAAATACAGAAAACAATAACGGTCCCTCACTTGATACAGTAAACAATAACGGTCCCTCACCTGATACAGTAAAAAATAATGGTCCCCTCTTGATACCGTAAACAATAATGGTTCTTCACTTAATACAGAAAGTAATATTGCTCCTTTACTTGATACAGGAATCAATAATGTTCTTTCACTTGATACAGTAACAATAATGGCCCCTCACTTGATGCAATAAACAATAATGGTCCTTCACTTGATACAGTAAATAATAATGGTTCTTCACTTGCTACAGTAAACAATAATGGTCCTTCACTTGATACAGTAAACAATAATGGTCCTTCACTTCATACAACAAATAATATTCCTTCACTTGATACAGTAAACAATAATGGCCCCTAACTTGATACAATAAACAATAATGGTCCCTCACTTGATACAGTAAACAATATTGACCCTTCACTTGATACAGTAAACATTAATGGCCCCTCACTTGATACAGTAAAAAATAATAGCCCCTCACTTGATAATGTAAACAATAATGGTCCCTCACCTGATACACTAAACAATAATGGTCCCTCACCTGATACAGTAAACAATAATGGTCCTTCACTTCATACAGTAAACAATAATGGTCCCTCACTTGATACAGTAAACAATAATCGCCCCTTACTTGATACAGTAAACAATAATGGTCCTTCACTTGATACAGTAAACAATAATGGTTCTTCACTTGCTACAGTAAACAATAATGTTTCTTCACTTAATACAGTAAACAATAATGGTCCTTCACTTCATACAACAAATAATGTTCCTTCACTTGATACAGTAAACAATAATGGCCCCTCACTTGATACAATAAACAATAATGGTCCCTCACTTGATACAGTAAACAATATTGACCCTTCACTTGATACAGTAAACAATAATGGTCCCTCACCTGATACAGTAAACAATAATGGTCCTTCACTTCATACAGTAAACAATAATGGTTCTTCACTTGATCCAGTAAACAATAATGGCCCCTTACTTGATACAGTAAACAATAATGGTCCTTCACTTGATACAGTAAACAATAATGGTCCTTCACTTGCTACAGTAAACAATAATGGTCCTTTACTTGATACAGTAAACAATAATGGTCCTTCACTTCATACAACAAATAATGTTCCTTCACTTGATACAGTAAACAATAATGGCCCCTCACTTGATACAATAAACAATAATGGTCCCTCACTTGATACGGTAAACAATATTGACCCTTCACTTGATACAGTAAACAATAATGGCCCCTCACTTGATACAGTAAACAATAATGGCCCCTCACTTGATACAGTAAACAATAATGGTCCCTCACCTGTTACATTAAACAATAATGGTGCCCTCACCTGATATAGTAAACAATAATGGTCCTTCACTTCATACAGTAAACAATAATGGTCCCTCACTTGATACAGTAAACAATAATCGCCCCTCACTTGATACAATAAACAATAATGATTCTTCACTTGATACGGTAAACAATAATGGTCCCTCACTTGATACAGTAAACAATAATGGTCCTTCACTTGATACAGTAAACAATAATGGTCCTTCACTTGATACAGTAAACAATAATTTTCCTTCACTTGATACAGTAAACAATAATGGCCCCTCACTTGATACAATAAACAATAATGGTCCCTCACTTGATACAGTAAACAATAATGGTCCCTCACTTGATACAATAATCATTAATGGTCCTTCACTTGATACAGTAAACAATAATGGTCCCTCACTTATTACAGTAAAAAAATGGTCCCTCACTTGATATAGTCTACAATAATGGCCCCTTGATACAGTAAAAAATAATTGTCCCTCACTTGATACATTAAAAACAATAATGGTCCCTCACTTGATATAGTAAACAATAATGGCCCCTTGAGTAAAAAATAATGATCCCTCACTTGATACAGTAAAGAATAATGGTCCCTCACTTAATACAGTAAAAATTAATGGTCCCTCACTTGATACAGTAAACAATAATGGTCCCTCACTTGATACAGTAAACAATAATGGTCCCTCACTTGATATAGTAAACAATAATGGCCCCCTGATACAGCAAAAAACAATGGTCCCTCACTTGATACAGTAAAAAATAATGGTCCCTCACTTGATACAGTAAACAATAATGGTCTCTCACCTGATATAGTAAACAATAATGGCCACTTGATACAGTAAAAAATAATGGTCCCTCACTTGATACAGTAAACAATAATGGTCCCTCACTTGATATAGTAAATAATAATGGCCCCTTGATACTGTAAAATATAATGGTCGCTCATTTGATACAGTAAACAATAATGGTCCTTCACTTGATACAGTAAACAATAATGGTCCCTCACTTGATACAGTAAACAATATTGGTCCCTCACTTGATACAGTAAACAATAATGGTCCCTGACTTACTACAGTAAAAAATAATGGTTCCTCACTTACTACAGTAAAAAATAGTGGTCCCTCACTTGATACAGTAAACAATATTGGTTCCACACCTGATACGGAAAACATAAATAGCCCACACCTGTTGTAGTAAACTGATCAACAATTGCCCCCACACCTGTTGTAGTAAACTGATCAACAAGTCCCCCACACCTGTTGTTGTAAACTGATCAACAATTGCCCCACACCTGTTGTAGTAAATTGATCAACAAATGCTCCTCACCTGTTGTATTAAACTGATCAACAATTGCCCCACACCTGTTGTAGTAAATTGATCAACAAATGCTCCTCACCTGTTGTAGTAAACTGATCAACAAGTGCCCCACACCTGTTGTAGTAAACTGATCAACAATTGCCCCACACCTGTTGTAGTAAATTGATCAACAAATGCTCCTCACTTGTTGTAGTAAATTGATCAACAATTGCCCCATACCTGTTGTAGTAAATTTATCAACAAATGCCCCACACCTGTTGTAGTAAACTGATCAACAAGTGCCCCACACCTGTTGTAGTAAACTAAACACAGAGGGCCTGTCACCTGATATAAATATTATAAAGGACTATCTTCTGCTGTAATATGCTAAATTTTAAAGTTTCCTCAGTTACTGAAACAAGTCCCTCAGTTGTTCGAGGAAACATTAATGGTCCTTCTGCTCTAGTCGAGTGAATACTAATTATCCCTCACTTGGTGCAATACACTAAATATTAAAGGCCACTCAGATGATGCTGTAACAATTAAGGTCCTCCTTATGCTTCTGTTAACACTAAAGGCCCCTTCACCTCTTTTACTAAACCAAACATTGAAAGTCCTTCATCATTTGTAGTTAACAGTACGCACAAAACACCCCTTGCCTCCTATACTTAAATATTACTTCTTTTTTTTCACATATTGTATTAAACTAAACCTTGTTGTTTTAAAGTAAGCAACAAAATTTACCTGGTACTGTGAAAGTTGGTCCCATTGGCCTGACAGCCAGTTTAGGGCAGTATGGATACACTATACTGAATACCAAGTCTTTGGTACAAAAGGAGACAGTGTGGCTGCCTTCACCTCTTCAACTGTCTTGTTAGGTAACTTTTCATGCGTGGGTTGACTTGGGATACCCCGGTAGCTTACTAGTGATACTTAGGGCAGCGGTCGAGCGTAGTATCCACTTGGCCGCCGCACCCTATCTATTACAGTAGAATAGTAATATTGGTTAACTTTGTGGTGTCCTAAATCAATTCCCTTGCTGCTCCAGGGCACGGACAGGCTGGCAGAGTACGTAATCGGAGGACTGAAGATGAACCGCATGGTGACGGACGAACCTTATAGCGGCCTCGAGACCCTCATCCAGATGAAGCACCTCTACACCACCCAGGTATGCCTCTACGCCACTGCATAATCTCTCAGATACACCATTAACTACTGCCTCACTCAGGTACACCACAAACTACTGCCTCACTCAGGTACACCACTAACTACTGTCTCACTCAGGTACACCACTAACTACTGTATCTCTCAGGTACACCACTAACTACTGTCTCACTCAGGTACACCACTAACTACTGTATCTCTCAGGTACACCACTAACTACTGTCACACTCAGGTACAACACTAACTACTGTCTCACTCAGGTACACCATTAACTACAGCCTCACTCAGGTACACCACTAACTGTTGCCTCACTCAGGTACACCACTAACTACTGCCTCACTGAGGTATAAAACAAACTGCTACCTTACTCGGTACACCACTATCTACTGCCTCACTCAGGTGCACCATCTAACTGCGACCTTACTCAGGTACACCACTAATTGCTACCTTACTTAGGTACACCACTAACTACTGCTTCACTCAGGTACACCACTAATTGCTACCTCACTCAGGTACACCACTAACTACTGCCTCACTCAGGTACACCACTAACTACTACCATACTCAGGTACACCACTAACTGCTACCTTACGCAGGTACACCACTAACTGCTACCTTACTCAGATACACCACTAACTGCTACCTTACTCAGGTACACCACTAACTACTACCTTACTCAAGTACACCACTAACTGCTGTCTTACTCAGGTACACCACTTACTGCTACCTTACTCAGGTACGGCACTAACTGCTACCTTACTCAGGTACACCACTAAATACTGTCTCACGCAGGTACACCACTAACTACTGTCTCACTCAGGTACACCACTATCTGCTGCCGTACTCAGGAACGCCACTAACTACTGCCTCACTCAGGTACACCACTAAGTGATACATTATTCAGGTACAGCACTAACTGCTACCTTACTCAGGTACACCACTAACTACTACCTTAATCAGTTACACCACTAACTACTACCTTACTCAAGTACACCACTAACTACTACCTTACTCAGGTACACCACTAAATACTGTCTTACTCAGGTACACCACGAACTACTACCTTACTCAGGTACACCACTAACTGCTTCCTTCCTCAGGTACACCACTAACTACTGTCTGACTCAGGTACACCACTAACTACTGCCTCACTCAGGTACACCACTAACTACTGCCTCACTCAGGTACACCACTAAATACTGTCTCACGCAGGTACACCACTAACTACTGCCTCACTCAGGTACACCACTATCTGCTGCCGTACTCAGGAACGCCACTAACTACTGCCTCACTCAGGTACACCACTAACTACTGCCTCACTCAGGTACACCACTATCTGCTCCTTCACTCAGGTACACCACTAACTACTGCCTCACTTGGGTACACACTAATTACTGCCTCACTCAGGTACACCACTAACTACAGCCTCACTCAGGTACACCACTAACTACTGCCTCACTCAGGTACACCACTAACTACTACCTTACTCAGGTACACCACTAACTGCTACCTTACTCAGGTACACCACTAACTACTGCTACCTCTCACTCTAGGTACCTCACTCAGGTACACCACTAACTGCTACCTAACTCAGGTACACCACTAACTACGACCTTACTCAAGTACACCACTAACTGCTACCTTATTCAGGTACACCACTAACTACTGCTTCACTCAGGTACACCACTAACTGCTACCTAACTCAGGTACACCACTAACTACGACCTTACTCAAGTACACCACTAACTGCTACCTTATTCAGGTACACCACTAACTACTACCTTACTCAAGTACACCACTAACTGCTACCTTACTCAGGTACACCACTAACTACTGCCTCACTCAGGTACACCACTAACTGCTACCTTACTCAGGTACACCACTAACTGCTGTCTAACTACCCAAGCACACCACTAACTACTGCCTCACTCAGCTACACCACTAACTACTACCTTACTCAAGTACACCACTAACTGCTGTCTTACCCAAGCACACCACTAACTACTGCCTCACTCAGGTACACCACTAACTGCTACCTTACTCAGGTACACCACTAACTGCTACCTTACTCAGGTACACCACTAACTACTGCCTCACTCATGTACACCACTAACTATTGCCTCACTCAGGTACACCACTAACTACTGCCTCATTCAGGTCCACCACTAACTGCTGTCTTACCCAAGCACACCACTAACTATTGCCTCACTCAGGTACACCACTAACTACTGCCTCACTCAGCTACACCACTAACTATTGCCTCACTCAGGTACACCACTAACTACTGCCTCACTCAGCTACACCACTAACTACTACCTTACTCAGGTACACCACTAACTGCTACCTTACTCAGGTACGGCACTAACTGCTACCTTACTCAGCTACACCACCAACTACTACCTTACTCAAGTACACCACAAACTGCTGTCTTACTCAGGTACACCACTTACTGCTACCTTACTCAGGTACGGCACTAACTGCTACCTTACTCAGCTACACCACCAACTACTACCTTACTCAAGTACACCACAAACTGCTACCTTACTCAGGTACACCACTAACTTCTACCTTACTCAGGTACACCACTAACTGCTACCTTACTCAGGTACAACATTAACTACTACCTTACTCAAGTACACCACTAACTACTAACTTACTCAGGTACACCACTAACTGCTACTTTACTCAGGTACACCACTAACTACTGTCTTACTCAGGTACACCACTAACTACTACTATACTCAGGTACATCACTAACTGCTACCTTACTCTGGTACACCACTAACTACTGCCTCAATCAGGTACACCACTAACTGCTACTTTACTCAGGTACACCACTAACTTCTACCTTACTCAGGTACACCACTAACTGCTACTTTACTCAGGTACATCACTAACTGCTACCTTACTCTGGTACACCACTAACTACTGCCTCACTCAGGTACACCACTAACTGCTGTCTTACTCAGGTACACCACTAACTTCTGCCTCACTCAGGTACACCACTAACTGCTACCTTACTCAGGTACACCACTAACTGTTACCCTATTCAGGTACACCACTAACTACTGCCTTACTCAGGTACACCACTAACTACTACCTTACTCAGATTCACCACTAACTGCTACCGTACTCGGGTACACCCCTAACTTCTACCTTACTCAGGAACACCACTAACTGCTACCTTACTCAGGTACACCACTAACTACTACCTTACTCACGTAAACCACTAACTACTACCTTACTCAGGTACACCACTAACTACTACCTTACTCACGTAAACCACTAACTGCTGTCTTACTCAGGTACACCACTAACTACTACCGTTCTCAGGAACACCATTAACTACTACTTTACTCAGGTACACCACTAACTACTGTCTTACTCAGGTACACCACTAACTACTACCTTACTCAGGTACACCACTAACTACTACCTTACTCAGGTACACCACTAACTACTGTCTTACTCAGGTACACCACTTACTACTACCATACTCAGGTACACCACTAACTGCTGTCTTACTAAGGTACACCACTATCTACTACCTTATTCAGGAACACCACTAACTGCAACTTTACTCAGGTACTCCACTAACTACTGTATTTCTCAGGTACACCACTAACTACTACTATACTCAGGTACACCACTTACTACTACCTTACTCAGGTTCAGCACTAACTACTACTTTACTCAGGTACACCACTAACTACTGTCTTACTCAGGTACACCACTAACTACTACCATACTCAGGTACACCACTAACTACTACTATACTCAGATACACCACTTACTACTACCTTACTCAGGTTCAGCACTAACTACTACTTTACTCAGGTACACCACTAACTACTGTCTTACTCAGGTACACCACTAACTACTACCTTACTCAGGTACACCACTAACTACTACTTTACTCAGGTACACCACTAACTACTGTCTTACTCAGGTACACCACTAACTACTACCATACTCAGGTACACCACTAACTGCTGTCTTACTAAGGTACACCACTAACTACTACCTTATTCAGGAACACCACTAACTGCAACTTTACTCAGGTACTCCACTAACTGCAGTCTTACTCAGGTACACCACTAATTACTACCTTACTCAGGTACACCACTAACTGCTACTTTACTCAGGTACACCACTAACTACTGTCTTACTCAGGTACACCACTAACTACTACCTTACTGAGGTACACCACTAACTGCTACGTTACTCAGGTACACCACTAACTGCTACTTTTCTCAGGTACACCACTAATTACTGCCTCACTCAGATACACCACTAACTGCTACCTCACTCACGCACACCACTAACTGCCAACTTACTCAGGCACATCACTTACTGCTACCTTACTCAGGTACACCACTAACTACTACCTTACTTAGGTACAACACTTATTACTACCTAACTCAGGTTCAACACTAACTGCTACCTTACTCAGGTACACCACTAACTACTACCTTACTCAGGTACATCACTAACTACTACCTTACTCAGGTACACCACTAACTACTGCCTCACTCAGGAAAACTACTAACTACTGTCTCACTCAGGTACACCACTAACTACTGTCCCACTCAGGTACACCACTAACTGCTACCTTACTCAGGTACACCACAAACTACTACCTTTCTCAGGTACACCACTAACTGCTTCCTTACTCAGGTACACCACTAACTACTGTCTCAATCAGGTACACCACTAACTTCTGCCTCACTCAGGTACACCATTAACTACTGCTTCACTCAAGTACACCACTAAATACTGTCTCATGCAGGTACACCACTAACTACTGCTTCACTCAGGTACTCCACTATCTGCTGCCGTACTCAGGAACACCACTAACTACTGCCTCACTCAGGTACACCACTAACTACTGCCTCACAGGTACACCACTAACTGCTACCTTACTCAGGTACACCACTAACTGCTACTCACATCAGGTACACCACTAACTACTGCCAAACTCAGGAATACCACTAAATACTGTCT